GATTAACCTTTTTTAAATTTGTATTTATATCTGTATTGGAGATAGTCAGAAGTCACTTTCTGTTTCATTTTTCTATCTGTTCTCACTATTTTTGTTTTTGTTTTTTTTTTTTAGTTCTATTTTCTTTCTTTGCTATACTTTCCGATTTGTATTTTAACTATGCTTTTTATATATCTCAATAAAAGTTTTTACAAAACAAAAACAAAAACAAAAGTTGCTTATAACACCTGAAGCTAATTTAGATGGACTGAATATGTCTTCGGCTGATCTTTGGAACTTCCATCACTGAGCTATATGGCCTTTCCTAGGTTCAATTTTAACTTACACTGAAGTAGAAATAAAGCACAGAATATTGCTGAAATATTCTGTGCATTACATCTTTTTTTACCTCACTGTATACTACTTAACTACAAATCCCTAGATAACCTCTCCTAGCAGTTTTAAACAGAGAACACAAACACCTCATAGTTATCCTGTGGAAACTCTCATGCCAATACAGATGAACCCACTGTATCTCTCTCTCTAAGCCCCAAATTCAAATTCACAAAGTTTAGTCCAAGAGACTACCATGAAGAAAGGCATTACAAGCAACTGTTATCTAGAAGTAGTTCTACCTCTCTTTCTTAAGAGGACCAAGAGGATTTCCTACCAAAGGCAGATTGAAATCCTGACTGAAACAGGTCTAAAAATAATCCTAGGCATTCCACTCAGGAAACACATGTCCTACCATCTTACCCAAGAGGATATTCATAATTGGCTGAGACTGACAACTACACCTAGGGTCCAAATATGTTTTTTAAAGAGTGAATGTATGATGGTTTCTTCAAGGTTGTTAGGACTTTCCTCTTAAAAAGAGGTACAGTGGTACCTCTAGTTACGAACGCCCCTCCTTACGAATTTTTCAAGATACAACCAGCTCCGGCCCCAAAAATTTACCTCTCCTTGCGAACTCCACCTCTACTTACGAACCGGATCCATGGCCATTTTCCCTGCTGCCATGCGGTCGCGGCTTCCTGTGGGCGAGATCGCGGTAGCAAGGAGACGTTCGGTGAGGCTTG